GCCAGGGCTTGAACCCAGACCACTCGATCCGGAGACAAGCACACTAACCATGAGGCCACCGCGCCTGCCCTTGTACTTAGATAAAAAAGCATTATCTATTTCATATAATAGGCTACCATAGCAGCAGTTTAACCTGTCATAACACCCTTAATTTTAGTTTTAAGTGAAGAACTCAAAAACAAGCTTCATTCAGGACCCACTTTTTTATTTTGTACTGAATAATGATCAGTATGTTTCCACAAGACTTCTTTTTGAGGAGGTCCAGAGTCATCTTCAAGTTTTGAACATTTCAGGTCCCTCTGAACCCCCTCAGGGGACATTTCACAAACTTTGCCAAAGTTGTAACATCATCTGTTAATGCATTACAGCACAAATGCCATGTATTCCCACTCACATTAAAATCTAAAAAAAAAATAAATTGGCAATCTCTGTGTTCTATATTTCTAAGCTACTAGGTTTATCCTTCAATAGACCTGTCACACATGCAGTGTCTTGTCCCAGGACATCTTGGAGAAGTTGTGCTCCACAATTCTAAGTTTTTCTTTAACAGTAAGGATGTCATGCCTTAATTGTTCAGCTGAGTAAGCAACTGACAATGTCTGGCAAAACACGACAAGCTTTCCCAAAGCTTTTCTCAAGCCAGTAGTGCTATTTCCTGTTAGCTCAGATAGGATAGAGGAATGTCTAAAAACAAAAAGAATGTGGGTCTCACAGATATTGACTAAATCCTGTTTGTGTACCATTGAACTACAAGTGTTAGTGGTAATGTCACATGATGAATGACAATCCTCCATAGTGCCAACCCAGCAGTCTTCATCAGATGCACATTGTTTTTGCTCTAGCAGAGTTCTTAGAAACACAGAGGGGTACATAAAATCAAGGTCAATGAATTTAACCACAGAACCATTAGTGATCCCAAAATTTCCAAGGTGTATATCACAAGACTGCACTAAACCATAAGGATTACTGGACACAGACAGTGTAGAATCCAGCAAAGAGTAAAGAAAATCAAACTTTTCTCTTTGACTTGGAATGTACTCTTGGGAAAAAGTACTAAAAATTAAATTTTTTGTAAGGGTCAGTGCTTCATTTAAAATGCTATAAACATACGGTATAGAACATGGACCGTCTAGGATTTTTTTACCAAAGTTTCTTAACATCTCCTCCACTGGTTCAAATAAATCAGGCAAGATTGAAAATTCACTGAACTCCCACTTCTCTCCAAAGACACTCGAAGCAATTAAAGGTAACTTCTCAGTTACATATAACCCACCACAATATCCATAGAAATCCAAAGAGTGTTTGCTTTCATTTAAGGCCATTAACATAAAAGCCTCTTGTTGGTACATTAGTGTAACAAATGTTCTAGCCTCAGATGCCGTTATAATTTCATTGTGATTGCTATCAGCATATGATGTCAACTTTTCCACAAGTGTGCTGCATTGTGAACAATTGCCAAACATAGTTTCCACCCAGAAAAGAACATCATTTTGAAAAGATGACATAAGGTCGTTGTCTGTTTTTTTCTGGAGTTCTTTAAATTCCATAAACCACCTCTCGTTTACTTTAAAAATAACTTCCCTTCCTTGCCATGCTCCATCATAAACCTTCTTTTCAATTACTGATGAAAGACATTTTCCAAGACGGATGTTGTTCTGTTCACAAAGATCGGAGCAAAGTGGTCCAGACACTTGTCCTTCTTTATAAGCTGAACACTGAAACAGTAACAAGACAGCTTACATGAAAAGGAACCAACTTCTATGAAATATTTTAATACCCCAGAGATCATTGAAGGTATGTAAGCAACAGGAAGTAGGAAAAATAACTTTAGACTTAAACAGGATTTGAACCCATGACCTCTGCGATACTGGGGCAGTGCTCCACCAACTGAGCTACTTTCACAAAAATCTTCTAAGTGATGTTCATCTAGGTATTTGGCCATAATTTTAATATTGCACGTGCCTGTATCCAATTTTTACTATCTAAAAATGGTATTGCTGTAGCTTTCCTGTATGTTCATCTGTGTGACTGTGTAATTTCAAAGGATTTTTCATACAGTGCTAACTTCTTAATTCCTTTCAGGGTGCCTTAATTTGTTTAACTTTTGTTGTCACTGATCGTTCACCATTGGTTTGTTTTTACAGGGGGAGACACTGAAATACAGGTATGAGTTCCAAAGGAAAAAAACACCTGTTGACCACAGGTGACTGTTGAGATGTCAGGTGCTTGATCAGACAAGCAAAGAGACAAGCTAACAAACTAGTTTGTAGTTATTGATAAAAGAAGTCAGGTAGGTTGACCTTCGTCCATTGGGGATTTTGTAGGTTAGAAGTTAGGAACCTACAGCAGGTCCCAAAGTATGGAAGTGATATGGTCTGTCCAATTGATTCCTGAGATAAAAGTTAACCTTTAAATAGGCATTTGAATCCAATGAACAGATAAACAAAGCACTCAAAAGATAAAACTTTGATGGTGTGTGAGGTACAAATCTCAAACTTCTAATATCTGGATTTTTTCATCTTTTTGGAAAATGGTATCAAGAACAGTTTTCACTTGAGTGTCAAAAAGTAATTGGCTTAAAAAACACTTGCACCACTTTTTCATCCAAACAGGAGTAAAACCAAAACCAATCACTCTCACACTAGCTCTCATTTTTCCATGATTTGCATAAGCGACTTGTAATAACTTCGAGTTTTGATTGGTTCACTGTATTGTCTGTGTCCTTTGTGATTGGCTAGACTGATTACTTGCTGATTAATTGAAAATCACCCTTTAAAAAGTGAGCTATCAAAAGCAAATTAGGGGTCACCAAATGTCCAAGATACATACATATTTACATACACACGCAAACAAATTTCTCCCGAAAAATGCTAGATTTTAACTTTTTAAAATTTTACAGCTTCTCTTGTCGCGAAATTTTATAGCTTATCTTGTCACGCAATAGTAACGGAGTATATTTATTTTTAATCTCCTACTTTCCATTGTTTTGTAAAAACGTTCACTTACTGTAGCTATCATATTTCCAATGGTTGTATATGTATTTCAAATCAGTGTAACAATGTAAATTCGTGATTTTATCTGATGAGTACTGCACACAAGTTGTGTAGTACAAAACTAAATAGTAATAAAATGCCAAGTCAAATCTACAGTTGATCAGTTCATCATTTGTTATAATCACATTCTAGTTTACTATTGAGCACTCTGGAAGCAGATCTGCAAATCAACTCGTTTGTCATGTAGGTCATTAAATCCATGTAAAAGCAGTTGTCAAAGGCACTACTGATGTTTATTTCATTACATAGCGAGCATGCTTAATGCATGACACTTGACAGTAAGGATACACACAATTAGAATGCACTTTTAAATTTAACTTACCAGTGAAGTGACAACATGGGGCAAGTTGCATTTAAAATGTTTGTCAACTGCAGTAAGTATAACATAGAAGACAAGGACTATCAGAACTATCAGTTTCCATCTAGCCATGACAGGATGTAAAGCATTGATTTTCAGACTATGTGCAGTACCTGTTAATCAGAGAAAGAGAACTGGATTCAATACAAGTAGCATAGAAGAAATTTGGACCTCAAAATTGGACCTGGCTCGGGTTAGTTCAAGACATTTTGGCTTTTAGTTATGTTACTGTGAGAATTTTGGTACTGGGAAATTTGAGTTCTTGTGTTTTAAAAGCACACTGATCAGCTAGGATGTATGATTGAGACCTAGAATCCATTTATTGTTAAATAATTATTAGGCTTAGCATGTAATACTACAAATGCAGAAATAAATCTAACCTCAATATCTTACAAAATGGGCTAGAATTTATTTCAAGAAGATTTTGACATTTTATAATTAATACCTAATGCATACCTAGCCACCATCTATTGCTGGGCACTTTAGAGGAGGTCTGTTTAGGCAAGCCCTTATTAACTGGATAGCAAAGGCCCAAGCGGGTTCTTGCTCTGTTTGAGGTCTTTTTTATTCTTTTGATGAGTTGACCCATGCTTCTACAATAATTGTAGAAGCATGGGTCAACTCTTATGGTGACTCTTACGGGTCTACTATTATGGTGACTCCTTTGTGAGAGGAGGGGGGTCACCCTAAGAGGTCAATTGGAAGGCAAGGATCTAGTGGAAGGGAAGGTGATGAATTTCTTTAAGATTGGCAAGTTGCTGAATAGATTGGTTAACTTTTGATTGGGTTCTTCCTTAAGGTGTTTAGTTATTTTCTTGATTCGTATCACAGAGTATCTGTGCTCCTCAATGCGTTGGTGGAGGTGCTGGGTTGTGTAGCCTTTACAATTTGCATTGCATGAATTACGTAGTTGCATGAATTATGTAGTTGCCAATTTTGTAAAAAAATATTATTTCCATTTGATAATGGTGATATGTCGTCATTGAACCATCATGTTTTAATATTGCTTAGAACTGCTTATAAATAAAAATGTGTTACAAAATCTTCCATTACCTTAAGCTTCTTGTTTGTGTACAATGCAGTTATATTTCAGTACATACATATACATGTATACATAACTTTATTTCAGCTTGAATTTATAGGGTAGCTAAAATTTAAGTTTATCTCAGTACTTTGATATCTGCATTTCCTGTTTATATCATAAGGCAGACACCCTCTATTACGAGGACACCAGTTTGAGTCCCTAAGGCATGTGCACAAATTTTAAAGAAGCTGGTGATGGTCATAAAACTTTGAGTACTTTGATCACTGACACCTTGAGTCCACCTCCCTCTACCTCTTGTCAATGTTGCCTGAATTTCAGGAATGCAATCATACCTTGAAATGCCTTTAGGTTGATTTTCAAAAATGTATCTACAATGAATAATTTTTCCAACAATGATCTGAATTTTGAAAGAAAAAAACTAAATTTTGGGAAAAGTGTCTCAAAGTGGTTACAGAATGTGTATTTTCAGAAAATTCCCATCCCCAATACATGAAAGGTCATGGGAAGGATTGGGGAGTCTCAAAAAACAAACATTTTGAATGAAAGTGCGAATATAAGCTGGAATTTCTGGAGGCCCAGTGAGGTGGTGCTCAAACGTACAAAACCTTCCATGGAGAGGGCAAAGATCTTTTCTGGTAAAACACAATATATGACAAACTGAGGATCCAGAACAGGCAAGATTTTTTTGTATAAACCCATACTCAGTTTTTTTAAGTTACTTTGAGTTTTAATGTATCCATGATTGTCAATCATGTGTGAAGGATAGTACAAATAATATTTTATTACATGGCAAATTAATCAACTATGAAAAGGAGAATTTTGATTGGTTTGCTGAGAGGTTAACATTTTTCAATACAGATCACTTAGATGGAAGAAATAGTTTAAGTAGAACATTGTACCAAAGAAAATAGTTTCTTGTCAAGTAGAAGTACAATTTCGTTTATGTCTGAAGGATATTTCCAGTCAAACTTTTATGAAAGCAGCCTGCAAAATATTTGCTTACTTTGGTGTATGCACTTACCAAGAACTGATGCATAAATATATCAGCAGAAATTTATAAGAGCCACTATAATAAATACTTTATTGAACTAGCTTGTTCAGTCAGTATTGGGTCCGAATATTAGTCTTGTTCTTTTTCTGCAAGTTTATGGTCCATAGTTTTTAGCAGAGCCCCAAATCCTCATTCTTTCCATTACATGGCTAAATTATTTCAGAAGGCCAGTAGCTAAAATCAACAAATCAGATTGCTCTATTGCCTGTCCAATATTTTATAAGCATTGGACCGACTTGTTCGGAACCATCATCATCATCATCAATCGTTATTGTCCCCAGTGGGGCATGGGGCCGCGGGAGAATATCAACCCTTTGGGGTTTTTTTTGTACAGAAGGTCTGTGCCTCAAGGCCTAAGGCTGACAATCCCCATATATGGCCCTCACTCTTGGTTAATATATAGAGGATATTACATGGCCATACAGAGATACGAAATTTATCTTCAGGAGTTGAAATTATATTTCATGAGCGAGCGTAGCAATCAAGTAAAATATTTTTCAACACAGGAAGAGAAATTTCGCATCTCCAAGCAACCGTATAACCTTCTATTTATCATATAAACACTTATGAAATACCAAATCATTTCACTTTTGCTGCAAAAGGTGGGATTTATTACGTAACCATAACAACAGTGATTTTTTTCACTTGTGAAGATAACATGTTATTTTCACTTATGAAGATATCATGTTTTTTGTGCTAAAGCTCTCCTGGTATTTCATCAGTGTTTATTATTAAAAATTGATTTATAATAATAATAATAAGTAAAAGTAACTGGAGTACAATTGAGGGAGTACCTTGCTACATGAAAATTTGGCGACACGTTAATTTAGCGATTTTGAAAATTCCTCATTTAGCGGCACTTTAATTTAGCCATTTTTCGTAAATTTTGGAACATAAGTCACTTAATGTTTGTGATTTCATGAGCAAAAACTTATTAAGGTATTGAAAACTTTTACGACAACAATAGAACACTTTATGTGATAAAATCATAAACATCAATAGCTTCATTTAAATCACAGTCATACAATGTTTTAAAACTTAATTTTGAATGCAGCAAACGAAACTGCAACTGTAATGCCCTATCTTAATGCTCTCCTGACTCATATTTGCATTGTCACACAAAGTCAGTGCTCCTTTTATGAGTACCTAACCATTAACATTCTACAACACCAATTAGGCTTGGTGGATTACTTCAAATGGATCAACAGGTGGCACTGGTTTGTCTCTGCTGGCAATTTCCTTGACTCGCACCCTTGACAATACATTTCCTCCTTCAGAGCCGGTCAGAGAATCATATTAATGTGACAAGCAAGCTTGCGTGAAATAGCTTCATTACTGACATCCTGGGATCAGTTGCTTTGTCTTCAAAGCTTGTCCCACTGTCTAACTATCTTTTGAACCTCTCCTAAATACTAGGTGGTAAATTTCTCTTTGCAGAATTTCTTAGCCTGGCCATTAACTGATTGTGTGAAACTGATCACATGGCGGGATTTCATTTTGTACTCAATTTCATTTAGCAACGATTTAAATTTTGCGACACTTAATTTTGATGCATTTTAATTTAGCGATTCTTAGAAAAAATGCTAAATTTGCAAAATTAAAGTGTTGCCAAAATTTCATGTAATAAGGTATTCGTGCGAGTAATTTCAAAATCGGGCAAGCGTGAAGCGCGAGGTCGATTTGAAATTACAAGCACGATTACTCCCTGAATTGTAGGACATGAGGTCCAATTACTAATTAATCGCACCTATAACAAATTTCAGAATAAAAAGTGTCTTTTGAGAACTTCTTTTGAGCAAAAACGTCTACAGCGCTTTTCATAAGTTTTGAAAACCGTAGGAAACATTGCGAAGGAAGCCATTAAAGCACACATAATTGACATGCGAATCATGTGGGTGTCCAATTACAGGTATCCAATTACAAAAAGTTCAAATTGGATACCTGTAATTGGATGCCCATGTGATAGCGTACCGATCACATGATAAATAGGGGCGGGGAGAACCAACCATGATCAAGAATTTGTTATAGATATGTATGTACAAAGTTTAAAATATTTACAATTAAAATGTTTAAAAAAGTAATGTGTCTGGTAAGAATGTTTAGCTGAGTGAGCGGGCAAGATACCAAATCCTGTGCTATGATTGGCTACCAGAGTGGACAAGATGGGACTATCTTGCTGGCCCGGGATTACCCGCTGTCTGCCGCAAGAAAATAGTGTTCTTTTTCCATATGACAAATTCTTTATTGACCAAGCTTGTTCGGTCAAAATGGCTAGATATTGGCCTCGTTCTTTTTTGTGTGTTTTCCCCCACGACTTGACCTCACGCTTGTTCAAAAACCCAGGGCCCGGCTGTTCGAAAGCCGATTAACGCTAATACAGGATTAAAAGTTAATCAAAATTCTAGTTTCTCTTGAATAAGTGTTTTGAATAAGTGTTTTCATTGTCCATTTTTCCTGAAGTTTAACATTGGTCAAAGCCAAAATTGAAGGACAAAAAATTCACTAAAAAGTCACAAAATTGAAATAAAAATTTACGCTTATCCTGGATTAGCCTAATCGTGCTTTGAACAACCCGGCCAGAAAAGCTTATATATGTTCACAAGACTCCGCGAAGACTTACCAACGGCAGAGAAAAAGTCTCGTGGGTGGACACCTCTCCACGGGAAAACAGGATTGAATTAATAAATGCATCGTTTACCTAGTTTCTTTCACTTTAATACGCGAAAACCGGCATACCTGCACAGGGAGCCCTCACATCCGTTTAGAATATGAATAAAAGATCAACCTACCTTTATCGTGCGTGTTTTGTGTTCTGTGGAGGCCAGTTTGAATTTTTTAGTACTCGGGTCACATTATTATCCTCGGCGATCCCTCGGTGAGCGATCGTTGATCCGCCGAGAATATTGGCGAATTTCGGTTCCAGACCTCGCACTAGTAGTGGAGCTCCGGCGGCCCGAAGGGCCGACAAACGGAGCCCCATAGCCCCATACTCATATAGGAAAGAAAAGGAAGCCATGAATAGATTTTCTCATGGTTATCATGGCTAGCGGTATTGCTCGTGGGCGCGTGCGCACGACAGCGGCGGCGACGACGACGACGACGACGGAGTCGCGCAACATGGCGGCCATACTCCAAATACCGTAAATCCTCGAATTAGCGCCCCCTCCCCCGCTCGAATAAGCGCCCCCTTCGAATAAGCGCTCCTCCTATCGGTCAAAATTTGAAATAAGCGCCAACCCCCTCGAATAAGCGCCCCCCTTCCCTCCCCCTATTTTGTGGACAGCAAGGGATGTATAGTTTTCGTCGTGTAGTATTAGATTTTTACATTGTTTAATTTGTGACCACGTGGATTTCTAATGGTGCCACGATTTAGACTTTAGATCAGCTTTTTATGTCGGAAACAACTTTATTATTGTTTACGTGCAGATGATGTATCGAAAAAATGATCATGTCAGGCCACGATTTGGGAAAAATTAAATAGGCGCCCCCCCTCGATTAAGCGTCCCCCGTATTCCCCTAAATTTGAAATAAGCGCTCCAGGCGCTAATTCGAGGATTTACGGTAATAGGTTGACCGAGACATGCAGCCTTGGTTTACCGTGTACTTCTTTGATATCCATGTTACGATCAATTGACACCTGTCAAAACAAGGTATCCGCTGACCAGTATCACGTGACCATATCGCGAGCTCAAATTTGTAGATCATCGATCTCACGTGTTTTCTTTAAGTTGACTGCTGACCAAGTGCAGGTTTTCGATTGGATCGCGGGCTCATGTCCGTTTAACTTGTTGAAAACAGGGCAGGATTGTTGGGAAGCCGGCTAACGCTAACCCAGGATTAAAAACTAACCGAATTATAACTCGATCAAGCAATTAATCAATCTTTATTTAAACACAAAAACCTTATCATAAAAATGGTCTCCCTAAGAGTCGTGTAAAAAATTACAAAGAATAAATTAACCATATTAACAGGAATGGATTAACTAACATTAAATAGAGGATATTACATGCCCGCGCGTGGATACGAATTTTATCTTCGAGTGTTCAACTCGAGTGTTCAACAGATGTTGAGTTGAACACCAGAGGATAAAATTCGTATCCAGCGGGCATGCAATATTCTGTTTATTATTAACTACCTAATAACCGAGAGTGAGGTCGTTACGGGAAAATCTCAAAC